GCCCTCAGCACGGGCAGCTGCGAGGGCCGCATCCGCTGTCATGGACAGAACATCTGAGCGGCGCGCTGACCCGGTGCTCCACCACTTAGCGCCAATCGCAGCGGCCGCCAGCGTCGCCGGCACTTTGGCCGCCTTCGCCTCCGCCACCTCGGCGTGCCGCCGCGCAGCGGCGGCTGCCGCAGCTTCCGCCGTCGAGTAGCTTCCAACAAACTCGCCGAAGACTGTAGCTTGGAACGGACGCTTCGTCGAGCCTCTGCAAACGTAGACATTACGAAACCCGGTAGCCGACCTCGATGAGGCGGCCACTGCTTGCGAGCTGCCTGCCGATGCCATATCAAGATTATCGCGCGATTTCATTCATGAACACTCGAGCTCGAGCTCGAGCTCGAGTGTGTGTGTTTTCTCGAGGTTCTCGAGGTGGATCTCCTTTGGCCGCGTTGGGTAGCGAGGATTGGTGTGACGCGATCCACGGAGGCGTGTTTTCTGACGGCCGACCGTCAGTGCACGGAGTTGCCCCTTCTCCGACTGCCCCGGCTAGTTCACGAGTTTCGCGGGAGTGACCCCATGCGTCAAACCCGAGACCTAGCGCGGGTGGGTTGGAGGGGGCTCGCCCCGTTCCTCCCCATCGGGCCGCATAAGCGGCCACGCCTCGCAGATTCGTTTTCGCGCCTGGGTCAGGCGCGCGGGGCATCCCCCGGGTCGCTCGACCAGAGGCGTCTGACCAAAATTTCCAGTTAAGAAAGAAAGAAAGAAAACGGACAACCCAAGGGAGGGATGGGAGGACGGCACGCCGCCACCAAACAGGGATTTTAAGGAGAGGGGTGTGATGCGCTAGCCCTACTCCAGTTGAGGCTGCCCTTGGAGTCGAGATTGATTGATTGATGGGAAGGCGAAACACAGTCCGACCCGGTGGGAAAATTGTTTCAATTCTTTTCGCTGTGAGATCTGGTTGGCCTCTTTAAATTCTTTTCGGGGGAGGAGGAGGATGCCCCCAAGGGAAAGCTCCAGCAGCTGGATGGCGATTACCGCTTTGCGCGGGAGCAGGATTGCGATCTATACGTTTGTTTGATTTTGAGGCTTTCGGAGGCTTTGGAAAGGAGGTTCGCAGCACCCTGAGGGAGGCGGCGAACCAGCTGAGCAACAAACTTTCGCACGCTCAGCACCTGGACGAGGTCACATGGACCACCAAGAACTGGCACGGGCTGCAGATGCAGCGCTTGTCTGTCGTCCTCCACACCGCCGTGGCGTGGCAGACGGTGAACGAGCTAGCGTGCGGGGAGAGCGGCATTGTGCATGGTGCGGAGTGCATTGCCGTTCTTAACGGAGTCGCTTAGGCGGCTCCGGTGGTGAGCCGGTGTGTGTGCCAGTCCGCGCCAGTCCGCGCCCTTGTCGTGCCAGTGTGCTGTGAGAGAGGCTTGTGTCCTAAGAATTCTTTTCGGTTTGTGGCGGCGGCAAACATCGGCAGGGGGCACAGGCGCCTCGTTGCCGATTTGAAGCTCACGAGCTCGCTTGCGAGCACGGGCAAGGACACGGCCGGCGACGGAGAGCTCGGCTGGAAGGGGGCCTATGTGCGCTTTGGCAACACGGAGACCGGGCTGCTCAAGTTGGTCAAAGGGCGCGGCAAGTGGTCTCCGTCGGAAGCGACGGCAGCGGCGGTGGCGGGGGAGGAGGAGGAGGCCGAGGAGGAGGGGGAGGAGGGGGAGGAGGAGGATGCCCCCAAGGGAAAGCTCAAGGAGCAGCCTGGCGATTACCCCTTTGCGCGGCAGCAGGATTGCGATCTACGTTTGTTTGATTTTGAGGCTTTCGGAGGCTTTGGAAAGGAGGTTCGCAGCACCCTGAGGGAGGCGGCGAACCAGCTGAGCAACAAACTTTCGCACGCTCAGCACCTGGACGAGGTCACATGGACCACCAAGAACTGGCACGGGCTGCAGATGCAGCGCTTGTCTGTCGTCCTCCACACCGCCGTGGCGTGGCAGACGGTGAACGAGCTAGCGTGCGGGGAGAGCGGCATTGTGCATGGTGCGGAGTGCATTGCCGTTCTTAACGGAGTCGCTTAGGCGGCTCCGGTGGTGAGCCTGTGTGTGTGCCAGTCCGCGCCAGTCTGCGCCCTTGTCGTGCCAGTGTGCTGTGAGAGAGGCTTGTATCTTAAGAATTCTTTTCGGTTTCGCGCTCGGGCTAGAAGCAGAGTCCACCCGCCTCTCATGGAGTCGTGCATTATCACCGTGTTCGGCGACGAAGGAGTCCTCCAGTCTGTGCGCGGCCACACGCCGGATCGGCACAAGCATGAGGGCCGCCACGCTGCTCTTTTCCGACAGCCAAAGGCATTGCGTTTGGCTGGTCTCGACCCTGCTACGGGCACTCTCCACGAGCGGAAGCTGGCTCGCACGAGTGCCTTCCTATCTCTGCCGCAAGAGCTGCTCGATGCCGTGGTCGTGCATGCCTGCGCGAGTGGCGAGCTGCGGGCGGTGCCGACGAGCGTCCACGAAGACGAGTGGAGAGTCACTGCTGACCGGGTGGTGCAGCCGATGGTGATGCTGGCACGCCTCTGTGCCACCTGCGTCGCTCTCCGGAAGGCAGCACGTTCCGAAATCGAGCGGCGTGCCAAGCGAGTCGCCGACGCGCGTGGCGGCACTCCGACTGAGGAGCCGCACTCGCTCATCGCCCTCTACGTGCGTGCGCTCTCTGTCGCCTACCCTCCCAGGATGAAGCCCTGGTCGTCGTTGTGCCGCATGGTGGAGCGCTCCGGGCGAGGGAGGCGCCTTGCCCGCCACTCGTGCTGCACGGCGATGGAAGGGACGGAAGTGCTGCTCAAGTGCGACTCGTGGCTGCAGTCGCCAGCCAACTACATGCAGAGCCAGCCGCACATCAACGAACGCATGCGCGAGATTCTCGTCGACTGGCTCACCGAGCTGGGCGAGGGTCTCGCCGAAGTCGCGACCAGCCGGGGCGTCTTGTCGCAGTCGTTCCACCTCGCCGTGGCGCTCCTTGACCATCATCTGGCCAGCGCCGACGGCCGCGGGACCAGCCGGCACAGGCTCCAGCTTGTGGGATGCGCGTGCTTTGGCGTGGCCTTGCGTTACGAGGACATCGTGCCGAGTCCGGACCGGCGCGGCTGCGCAGTCAACGACGAGGAGATGGCGCGTGCGATGGCGTACTTTGCCGACGCCGACGCCGACGCGACCTTCCAGGCGGAGTATGTGGCCACTTGCCGCAAGGTGAGGCGCATGGAACTGGCGGGGCTAGCCGCCAGCACGACGCTGGTCCTCGTCGAGCGGCTTCTGCGCGAGCTCGTGCGAGGCGTCTCGGGCGAGTTCCAACCAAACGGAGGCGGTAGGTACATCGCCCGGCACGGATCCGACGACCCCGAGCGCACACTCAAGTACGCGTGCCTCTACCTTGCCGAGCTCTCGCTCACGAGGTACTCGCTGCTCCGCTGGCGGCGCTCCGTCGTCGCGGCAGCGAGCGTGCGTGCCGCGTGCGTGCTGGTCGACCCGCTCGACAGGGCCATCATCAGCATCGGTGCGCTCGACGACGGTCTCCTCGTCAACGCCGCTTCAGGCAGGCCAGGGCTACGCAGCCTCTTCCCGCGGCGGCTGCTCGGCCACTCGGACGACGAGACAGACGCGGCGAGCAGCGAGCTTCTGCGCGTGGTCAAGCTCGCCCCCATCCAGACGATCTCTGGGACGAGCCGCCCAAGCGCCATCTTTCAGAAGTACCAGAGGCAGCAGTTTGACGCAGTGGCGGACCTGCACGTTTTGGTCGCGAAGATGCCGACCTACTGCACGCTGCTCGAGTCGCCACCAGCTCTTCGCACGGCGGCGGAAAAGGAGGCGATGGCGGCTGGGGCGGCGCGAAGGGCTGCAGCGGTGGCGGAGGTGGCAGCCCAGGCGGAGGCTGAGGCAGCGACGGCGGTGGCGGAGGCGGAGGCGGCGGTACTTGGCGTGCGCGCGGTCAAAGCATGGTATGAGGCGAAAAAGGCGGCGGCGGAGGCGGAGGCGATGGCGGAGCTCCGGAAGGCGGAGGCGGCGGCGGCGGCGATGGAGGCAGCGGCGGCGGAGAATGAGGCGATGGCGGCTGGGGCGGCGTGCAGGGCTGCGGCTGCGGCGGTGGCGGTGGAGGCGGCGGCGGGGGCGGATGCTGATTAGTGCCAGGTGCGCGCCAGGGGCAGTCCCGTGCCTTGTGTTGTGCCTTGTGCGACTTGCGTATTGCGAGCGACAGCGAGAGAGGAGTTTTTGGTAAAATTCTTTTCGAGTGTTAGTAAATAAAACGGACACGCCAGATTCGAGATGTGGGAGACCCTCGAGGTGCTGCTGCTGGCCGATAACGAGCCCGCGCTGGGAGGCAGCGCTGTATTTTAGAGAGCATGCGCTTTGAGGAGCTCGATCCGCCGCCGCCCATGCTGCCGCGCTGGATGCGCGGCGCGCTCTTCATGGGCGCAAGGGTTTGTAAACACGAATGAAGACGAGGACGAAACTCGTCTGAAAAAAATAGCGCGCCGGGGTGCCCCACGGCCAAAGTGTCACGTACACAGACCGTACACAGACCGTACAACCTCTTTCTTGTGCCCCATGAGGGTATAACAAAATATTGCATGCAAATGTGGGAGCTGTCTGCGGGGGGAGTGGGTATGTGAGTTTTTTGCCAGTTTTCCAGGTTGTCGAGAGGGGTTCTACTGTACTCTACCCATACCTCGACCGTTATCACACTCTACCCATGCACTCAGACGCGGCGGGAGCAGTGGTGACTCGACCACCTCGCGAAGGTCGCGTGGGGTATGTCGATCCGGACGATCGAGGCGGCAGTCCCTGCTGCCGCAATGCCTTGCACGTTTTCGTGGATGAAGACGTGCACACCCACCCCGCTGACGGTGAGGCCGTTCTGCACGGGATGGGCAAGCGCTCGCGCCCCCCGCGCGTCGCACGTTCTCAGCGTGGTGGGTGCCGACCACTGCCACCCGTCGCTGGAGCACGACATGGCCACGCACCCCCGAGCCGTCTCGTCGACCACCAACGGGAACAGCGCCACCAGCCGGTTTGCATCGAAGGGATGCAATTGCACGCTGAAAAAATACATGTTGGCGGCCGCGGGGCGATAGTCCTGGACGACAATCGGACGGAAGGGCGTCCATCGCTCCGTGTCGTGAGACAAGGTCACCTGAGCGAAGCGACCGCCTCCGTGGGGGAGAACGTTTGCGCGTGCGTAGAGCAGCACTGCCGACTTGAACTCGACCGCCGAAAGACGGCCATCGTACTCGCACGCAGTGACGTTGCCGTTGCGCGCGATGTAAAAGCCCTTCACCCTCCACTCGATGCAGCCGGGGTGGTAGCCGTTGAAAGCCGAGCGCGGGGCCGACCAAGGAGACGTCGGTCGGTCCCGCTCGGCGTAGCTGCTGTTGGTCTTGTTCCACACAATCTTGAGCACGCCGTCTGGATGTATCCGACCGTGCTGGCCGCCCCAGCCTAGCAGGCCGCCGGACCTCGGCTGCAGAAACGCAGTGTTGTGGCTGACCCAGCGCCGCTGCTCCGGGTTGGAAACGAAGAGGCGCTGGCGCGTGAGACGAGCTCTCGCTAATCATGGGAATCGAGCGCTCAGCAGATCACGGCCGGTCGAAGTTCGCCTTCGCGTCCGATTTGCGGTTTCACGCTTCACGGCGGTTGTCGTGAACACATCGCGGGGGCTCCGTATCTCTGTGTTTCTCGCGCCTTGCGGGGGGGGAGCGGAAAGAAGGAACCTCTTCCCAAGAGCACCACTCTTGGAGCGCCGCCACTACCACCCAGAGCGCTGCAAGGAGCGCTGGGCAATGACGGCTTACCGCCCACCCAGCCCCCCCTCGGCACACCCCGGCAGCCAATGTGTGACGGCTCGAACCCGCTAAGCCATCCCGCAAGCGGGATAGCCCGCCACTCGAACCCGCAAGCGGGCGTACGAACCGCGAGCGGCTCGCACTCGTGACACGCAGGCGTCCGACAGACGGCGCCGGGGCTAGGCGAATCTCATCATATCCACGTGTATCTCCTGGTATCTCCCGGTATCTCCCGGTATCCCGCCATATCCCGCCGCGGATACCGCGAAAAGAATCGTCCACACCAGGGATGACGTGCGGCGAGACTCGACACGGCCTCCCGTCTGAGCTTTGCTCCGACGAGCCCCGCCGAGATCCTCCGCTCCCGCCACGCGCCGCGGACGACACACACCAGTCGACTCGCGTTCGGTCGTTACCGGCGCCGCCTCGACGATCAACAACAGGCCAGCGGCAACAGCCAGCAGCATCTCACAAAGCTTTGTTCCTGCTTTGGTCCTTCAAAAGTGGGATGTCTTCCTTTTTCATCCCTTGTCACGCTCGCGGGACGTCTGGCGAGTAGAGACCACGCTTGTTGTGGTACGTGCCCACCAGCCCAGCTGGCTGTGTGTCTTGTGAGCTTGTTTGTGTCTGTGTGTCGTCACTCAATCAAGCGTGTCGTCACCTTCTGTCCCCTCCCGACCCCTAGCAGGACGAGGCAGAGCAGGAGTCCAGGAGAGTGACGAGACAGAGGATGAAGGGAGAGGAGAGAGAACGACGAGAGTGGGACGACCGCGAGGTGGCATGAAGGTTTCAGCGAGAATCGGCGAGGCCGCAAGGCGCGCGATACACTCAAGTTTTCACTGACGAAACTACTCGACGGACGACGCCTCGACGCGCTCCACAGGACCGTACCCACGGCACATACGTGCAAGCACACGGCGACGCAGAGGCCAGAGGCAGCTGATGTGCGCGCTGGGGCACGGCAAGATCTAGCACGGCAGCAACGGCTGCGGCTGTCCACGCGGATGCCTCGCCGCGCGGGCCTCCCTCCACGCGCCGGCGAGCAGCTCTACCGAGGAGGGCGACGGGGACGCCTATTCATTCACAGCGTCCTTCTCGCCGTGGCCGCCACCGCCTTCAAGTGTGGCTTCGCCAAGTCAGGCAGGGCGAGCAGGAATGCCTGCTCGCGCCGAGGCGGGTGCGACGGCCTGCCCAGCTGCGCCGCGAGGGAGAC